TGGAATTTTCCCATCTGTTTTTCCAGTTTCCCCCATTCTGCAGATCCTGTGCTTTTAGTATGTGCACGGGTTTGGTTTTCCCATTTGCCTTGGGTTTTCTGTGACTGTTTCCCCCTGTTGTGCGTTTACCTGTCTTATTCCTATCCTTCCTACCATATTGGTGTTTCTTATCAATGGATTTCAGAATGGTGATGGTTAGCCATGGGCAACCAAGCCGTTTGTTTGTGATCTGTTTCGTTTTTATAGGACAATGTTTGTTGTATAGTCTAAGTAATTTGTTAAGAAAAATGTCTGTCCATTCATCAATACCATTGGCCTTGGAGAATTCTGTAGGCCAGGCAACAGTCTCTAGGTCAGCTGTGAACTTCCTTATTGAGGCCGCATCATGGAGTCTAAATAAAACTTTGTTGTATTCAAGTGGTGGTTTACTAATGTTTGTCAAGAGGAAGGTAGAGTAGTAGTCTGTAGTGCTATCTGTGATTATCCCTGATTTAATGGGGGCTAGTATGTTGGTCCATATGTGGTCTATTATGGTTGCACTTGTTTCAGCGAGCCTGGTTGGTTTAGTTATTGTTGGTATGAGAAGTGTGTTGTTCATATTGTTGATGAAATCAGTTACAGGCTGATCATCTAGTAGGCCAAGGTTGATGTTGAAGTCTCCAGCTAAGAGAAAGTGGTGCTTATTCATTTGTCTGTTTGTTATTAGTTCCTTTAATTTCTCACTGAAATTTGGGATGTTTGTGTGGGGTATCCGGTAAATGGCACCGATTGTTATAAGCGTCTTAAGGTTTTTTTACAGTAAAATTAGCAAAAATGTATTCTCCATATTCATCACTAAAGCAAGTGGTGCTAATACAAGATAACTGGTTAGAGTAATAGATTGCAATACCACCCCCGACTTGGTATGGTCTGCAGTTGTGGATTGCTGTGTATCCTGGTAGAGTGTAGATATCTATTGCGTCCTGCTTAAGCCAGGTCTCAGTAAGAATAATGCAGGAGAAGGGTGTCTTTAGTGATTCAAGGAGTGCCAGGAGGTCATCATAGTGTTTGCTTAAGGACCTGATGTTGTAGTTAAGTACTGATAGACTTTTAGCATTGTTTAGGATAGTGCTGGCTTGTGATGCTGTGTAATAAAGGCAGTTACTTTCCAATAGGTTTTGGTTGTGTGTCAGATTATGGAGGTTTAGATCAGGGTCAACGTAATCAATCATCTTCTAGGTTTAAATTATGGTTATTTATATCCTGAGTTGTGTGTTGGGTTTTAGTACTGATATCTGTAGTGTTGGGAAGTTTGGACAAGTATATAGCTATAGCATTTTGGTCATGTAGAGTATAGTCACTAATACACATAATGGAGTTGGTGTTGTCTATGTGTTGTGCTGGAATGAGCTAAAGTACAACTAGGTATAAACTAATAATATAACCTGGAGTTTACCTGGAGAGAGTTCCGGGGGTCAACGCCCCCGCGGCCCGGTCTGTGACCAGGCCTCCTGGTGGATCAGAGCCTGATCAACCAGGCTGTTACTGCTGGCTGCACGCAAACCAACGTACGAGCCACAGCCCGGCTGATCAGGAACCGACTTTAGGTGCTTGTCCAGTGCCAGCTTGAAGACTGCCAGGGGTCTGTTGGTAATCCCCCTTAAGTATGCTGGGAGGCAGTTGGACAGTCTCGGGCCCCTGACACTTATTGTATGGTCTCTTAACGTGCTAGTGACACCCCTGCTTTTCATTGGGGGGATGCTGCATCGTCTGCCAAGTCTTTTGCTTTCGTAGTGAGTGATTTTCGTGTGCAAGTTCGGTACTAGTCCCTCTAGGATTTTCCGGTGTATAAAAATCATGTATCCTCCCGCCTGCATTCCAGGGATTACAGGTTCAGGAACCTCAAGCACTCCCAGTAATTGAGGTGTTTTATCTCCGTTATGCGCGCCGCAGGTATACAAGATTCTCACTTGTAATTGCACTATGGTCTAATATAATGACTTTGGTATTGACTATGTATTGAGCTAGAATGAGCTAAAGTACAATAAGGTATAAAATAAAAATATAAAAAAAAACAAATTAAAAATACACAAGATCTCACTTGAAATTGCATTGGTCAAATATATGAATTTGGTACGCTATGTTTGAGCTGAATGACTATAGTACAACTGAGTTTAATCTAATGATATAAAAAAAGACACAAGACTCTCAATTGTAATTGCACTAAGGTGTTATATAAGTTGTTTACAAGAATTAGAGTTATTCAGTGCTTGGGCTGCTACATCTACTATGACAATCTTCCCCAAATCCCCACACGGGCAAAATTTAAATGACAAAAAAGGATTCAAGGGAGAGACTTGTTTGTTTTATGCTCAGTAAGGAAGATGACTGCAACATTCCTTTCACTAATTATGAACTTGATGCAGCACTAAGAGCAACTCCACGTGCCTGGTGAGGATGGTATTACTTAAAAACATACTCGATTGCGGTCGAGTACCAGGTAACCCTTTACTTAAATTTTACATAAAATGAGAAAGTAAAAGGGGGGAGCTCCCTCAATATTGGACCACAGCCTCATCTTTAAATTCCAAACACAACAACAAAATTATTTCCCCCAATATCTCTTCTAGTGTTTTGTGTAAAAAATTCGAGGGTGATTCTTAATGTCTCTGTACAAAATCAAAAAATTTTTCGCCCCCCCGGTTGATGGTTTCATGCATGGAAAAAACGGCATCTTTGATTACCACCTTTTCCACCCTGCACACTGACACTCAACACTCCCTTCCTTGCCTTAAATCTGCTTTTGATTACCACCCGACATGTAATCTTAGGAACTTGCCAAATGGATGTTGGGGAGGTCTTCTCCGGGATAAAGGCTACCTGTCCAACAGAAAGTCTGGTTGGTCCCGGGGGCATGAAGTATATTAACAAAGACTTTGATTAGGAACCTCACAGGGAGGTGTGCTCAGTCCCTCCATTCAATTTCTAATTAATGCCACTTTCAAATGCCTACCAGCCCCATCATCACTTGCATTT